TCTGTGGGATTTGAACCCTAGACCTGCTACTTGGAGAGGGTGACGACTTGACCACTTCACTAAGCCGCCACACCCTAGAAACCCAAAGATTTCAGCATTAGCTATGACAATTATTATTAATTTTTTTTTTTTATACTCTTATGCATAGGCCTGGAAGAGTTATGCTAACTTTTATATCCATTCGCAAGGGCATTAACATTCATAGAAGGCAATCAGTATCCAACATTGAGTATGATGTATCCAACAGTGCAACACCTTTTTAAATATTTAGATCATATGGAGAATATACTTACAAATATTAATATTATTGAAATGCACGAAAGTCTTCAAGATTCAATGGTATCTCAATGGAGTGATCCAGAAATAGTCAGATGGCTTGCTTCCTTTTTAGATCCTCGCTTCAAGGCATTATCAGCCACCTCATCCACAATGCAGCAAGAGGTGCTCCAAGAATTATACAAACAAATTGAACTTTCACAGCATACAAGTAACTTACCAGCTACTAACAAAACCCCGAATACAGAAATGTCTTCTTTTTTTGACGACGGAATTGAACCTCCATCCTCCTCTCCAATTGACACTAAACTTCAAATATATCTTTCAATTCCGCAAATCTTTAAATATAATTCTAAAGACCCACATTACGAAAAATGTAATCCTTTAAGCTAGTGGAATGAGCACAAAAGTGCATTATCTCTTCTCGCAAGGCAAGTACGAATCTTTCTTGGTATTCCAGTAGGGATCTTACCTGGGTCAAAAAATAGCGACCCGGGTCAAACCCGGGTTGAACCTTTCTGACCCGGATTACAACCTGGGTCAATGAGCGATATATACCAAGGCCAATAACTTTCGTAACTTTTTGGATTTAATTTCAGAAAAATTTCTCCACCTTGCTCGTGATTTAAGTTCTTTCATTTACCATATCGGAAAAACCGGGAAAACTAAGTAACTGACCCGGGTCAAACCAATTTTTGACCCACCAAGATTCTGATTAGGGTGTTCAGGATTATACGAAAGCATAATATACGCATAATTTACCCGTAAAAAAGAATAAAATCACATAGGTGGATTGTGATTGGTGGATAAGTGTATCGAAAGATGGCTAGCATAAATTCCATAATGTTCTGATATAGATTGGTTCTGACCCGTTTGACCCGGGTAGACCAAAATTTGACCCATCGGGTCGAGTAACCCGTCAGGTCGAATAACCCGTACGGGTCATTCGACCCGGGTAAGAACCCTATATTCCAGCGACCTCTGTTCCTTCTGAATAGCTCTTCTCTGACGCAGATAATACCATAATAGATAAATATAACCGTCTAAGCACAAATTCGGTTCATGATCTATTATTCTTAAAAGAAAATTCAAAAATTATTAATGTATATGTTGGCTTATAAATTGTGTATAAGGATAAAATTTTTTAATATTAGATAGATTTTTTCTTTTTTTTCTTTTTTTAAAATTTGTATTATTTAAATAAAAGTAGTAATATTGTTTATCTCTGCAAGAAATGAAAGTATATTACACTTGATTGACCAATCACATCTATTTTAAATCACGTGCCTTTGGTTAACCAATTAGGTTGATCGGCTACAGCTTAACCGGCTAAGCCGATTTTAAATATCAACTTAGTCAAGCTGATAAATTAGGATTGACTACAAACACTACTTCTAAATGTCCAAATGCTATAATTAGCCTTGTAGATTATTATATTAGCTACACAATGATATGTGTTTTATTTTTAGTTAATATGTAAGTTATTGAGTAATGCATTGCCGAGTATTGCTAAAAATAACTTAGCTCAGCATTCTACTCGGCATTGCTTGGCGGGCTTTATTGGTGTTACAGGTAATTCTACTTGAAATTTCCAAGTTGTCAAGGCCTTACATGCATTTTGGATAGTCCAAAACACTGCTGCAACACATGGTGGTCCTAAAACCAATGAAATATTAGGCTAAAAAGCTATAAAAAGAATAGCTTTTTGCCCTTCTAAAAAGCAGTTCTCTTGCTACTTTAATTTTCTTTAAATAAACTCATATTTATCTATTCTTATCTTAATATTATTACCAAAATTATTTCTTTTTCTTATTTATTTTATGTTTTTATCTTTTCTTTTAATAAATTCTTTCTCTTTCTTAGAATAACATAAAGCGAAAACTGGTTTTGGAAATAGTATTTTGGCAAAATACTAGCTTATATTATTTGGAATTTAAAGGCTATATATAGCCATGGATGGTCTGATTGTTAGTACTTCTTTCTCTAATTATATTCTAGGATATTTCTAAGTTTTAGTGGCTAGCATATCCTAGTAAAGGGCAAGTAATTACTACACCTGACCTGTACAAACTGACCAATAGATTTAATCTTTCAAACCTCATTGCCTATTGATAACTTCTTATAGTACTTTAAAGGCTATTGAATTTAAATTCTATTATACAAATTGTTTATTTTTCTTTCTTTTTATTATTTTCTTTAAATAAAAAATAGTCCACTTGACACTCGTGACTTTAAAGTTTGCTAAAGCTTGATAGTTTTTAGTAAATTTTACCACATTACAAACTGTCAAAGATAATTAATCAATTTAAGATATTAGTAACTATCCAAAGTAGCAAGTGCAAACCGAAGGAGTTAGTAATTACTGGAAAAAAGTATTAAACTAACAAAAAGAAAAAAAAGTATATTTTTCTAATATTTTTGAAAGGATAAGTTAAACAACAATTCGAATAGAAAATAATATTTCAATTCCCTATAAAATAGAAAGTAAAGTCATATAGGTTTAGTAATAGATAGTGTTATTTTCATCTGCTTGTAAATCAGATACCTTACTGTATTGGATTTTGATTCTTCCTAATATAATATAAAGTCCTTATAAATATAAATCTGATACTAAAAAACCAAAACATTATCCATTAAGCCCACACATATACTTATCTTAAAAGTGGCAATTATTACTTGTAACTTAAGCAATTTCTTGATTAGATGCTTCATTTTAAGAAGTTTTACTAATCGGGTTGAGTACCAGAATTTAAAAATCATTAATAGAATAAATATAAGTTGGTTGTACTTATCTGATTGAATGTTTAATTTTTCGATGACTTTATTAGAAATCCATTATTTAACATTTGGGCATCAATTTTTAATCGACGGTCATTTGAGAGTGACATTCAATAGCTTTTTAAGAACCAAGAAGTTGCTTTGATTTAATCAATATTGTTAATGAAGTAAAGAATCTCTTCCGTTATTTCACCTAATATTATTTTATAAAGAAGTTCTTGTTGAAGATAGCTTAATCTTCCTCATAATTACTTTGAGGATCATCGAACATTGAGGCTCAGTTCTGCAGTTCTGCAGTTATAGTGTTTTTAAAAACAGAGTATGTTTATATGGGATGTTGTATGCAAGTCCATGTACGTATATATGTACATATGTTGCATCGTATCTATATTTGTACATTACATATCAGGAATGGTGTGTTATTTTTATTAAGAAAAAGTTTAATGGAAGTCTGAATGAACCTCAGTAAATTGAGGTTCTTCATCAAGCCCATTGCTAATTCAGAAACTGTATAATTTCTAACTTGTTTGTGTATAGTCTATGAAACAATAAAACATCAAAGTAAAATAATATAATAATAAAAATTTTATTTAATATATCTTTATTATTATCGATCCTGTTCTTCTGATATATAAAGGAAAAATTGTTTAAATTATTGAAGCTATTAATTAATAGCTTTAATCCATACTATAATTACTATCACGTTATTAAAATCTTAGCAGTTAATAAAGTAGTTATAAGGTAAGAATACCTTAAACAATATATATTGTAAAGTAGCAAATATCGATTTAAAAAGTATATATATATAATATATATATATTATGTACTGTATATATTAGTTAATGTTTAGCATACTAGCAATATTCTTTCCACTTCTTGATGGTATGTGAATATTTTTGGTAAGATTGTTCAAGTTTTTTACTTAAATGATATTTTTTTTCCTCCAATAAATTTTAAAAGTTTCACAAACGAAATTTCGCAAGATTTTTAATAACCCATATCTTCAGAGCTCTGCTTGGTTTGTTCCTGCTATATAATGATTCAAGAGATTTACTACCACTTTTTTATCGATAAAATCTTTGACATCTTCATTTGTTAGTGGAGAAACTATGTTTTCTATAAAAGTTAAATTTTAGTACGTACAAATTTTAAAATTTTTTATTTTATTTTATTGTTATTTATTATTATAACTTTTACGTGTTTCCCTAAGGATTTTAGTAAGATTTACTACCGATTTATTAAATTTGTAGTGAAAATCACCAAGAGTTTTTTTAGTTTTGCTTTGCACTTCTGTTCCTTCTTTAGAATAAGGTGAATATCCAAAGATTTTTTTAATGAATTCATCAATAATCATTGATGATAAATTTCTTATTCTAAGGAAAAGGCACTTTATCTTTTCATCCCACAGATATACGTTATCCTAACAAATCTCTTTATTACTAGAACCTTAATTTTGATGTATTATACTGTAATAAATATATATTACCTTATTGTCAAATGAACTTGTAGAATTGATAGATAAAAAACTTGATGATTCATTAGCATTAGTATCGATATCAATTGACAATGAAAATGCACTATGCATTTGATTAGCTAGTCGCAATATATGCAGGTGTTTTATAAGCCAATTGCATACTTCCAAGACATTATCCATTTGATTGAATTCTAATAGTATTTGTTCGACTTGTTGATTATCTGTATTTGAAATATATAGCGATAGTTATAAATTAGTAAAATTACAAATAAATCATTATAATAAATATATACATACTGTACATAATACCTGGCAATTTTTCAATATCAGGTAATTTTTCAATATTGATATCAGGTAATTCTTCAATATCAATATAGTATTTACTTAAAATAGCTATGTATTGGAATTTTGAATATATATGTATAACAATAATATATACAGTATTATATATATTTTAAATATTAATAGATACTAACAATTTATTGACATAGTATTATCATAGTTGTCATCGTTATTGTTATGTAATAATTGCAACATATCTCTATAAAATGTTGAAGGCTCTTCATTTTCAGATATAACTTCATTTGCTTGAGGAGATATCTTTCTTATATTATCTCTTTTTGGCAAAGCAATCTTTAAAAATCGACCAAAATAGAATGATATACAATTTTTTTTAAAGAATATATATTTCATTTTGATCTCTAGCTTTTATCTTGTTTTTTTGTTAAATTACTCAAATTTCTAATTGGTTTAGCTACTTTAGCTTTTGCTAAAGCATTTTGTGAATTTTTAATCGGTTTAGTTACTTTAGCTTTCACTAAAGCATTTTGTGGATTTCTAATTGGTTCAGCTACTTTAGTTTTCGTTAAAGCTCTTTGTGGATTTCTAATTGGTTCAGCTACTTTAACTACTACTACTTCAGTTTCATTATTTGTATGAAATGATATTTCACATTCTTTATTTTTTGAAACCTTTGCTAGACATCCTTGTTTTTTTTGCATTTTTTTAAAAGAAAATATTAAGTCAATGTAAAAAAAATCAAACTATTTTTTTAAATAAATATTTCTATTTATACTATTAAAAAAAGAATTCTATTATATAATATTGTATTGTTTTTATGATAAACTTTTAATTAAAATTTGCTTTTTGTAGCAATTTAATAAATACATTTATTTTACCATGAAATATATATTATTTTTTAGTATAAAAATATTTTTTTTTCATTGCTTATTTTATAGCAATCTAAAATTTTATATTTTTTCATTATTCTATAACTGCTTCTAATATAAATCCTTTTTTTTTATTTATTACTACATCTTACTCGTCTAAACTTGATCTCTCTCTTTATATCTAATATAGAATCTTTGTTTTACTTTTTAGTTATAACAATATATTATTATCTTTACTTTCTTTTGTGTAGTATATAAATTTTATATCTTTGAATTACTATATTTTACCTTTTAGATACTAACACTAATATGATAAGAAATAAATTTGGATCCAAAAATCATAAAAAGGCAGTTTATATAAGACAAAGATTTTCTTCTAATTCATTTAATTCTTTAGCACAATCTCATAATAGCTCTTTATTAGTAAACAAAGAAAAACCAAGTTCTCTTGAAGATTTAAGTTTTTCTAATAAAACTATTAGTGAAACTTCTGATTATATCGAAAATTTACAGCCATATAAAGAGTTAGACAAGGATTCAAGTTTTCTTGAAGCCTCTTATTTTTCTGAAGAATTAACTAATACGAATTCAAATTTTTCTGATGATTCATTTTTCTCTGATGAGACTAGTGAAAATTTAGAAAATTCTTGTCATTTAAACTATTCAACTAGTGAAGATTCTAGATTTTTTGATGAGATTGTGGATGAATCTTTAGACCCTAGCAAGATGTCTCAAAATACTAAAGATTTCTTACTATATTTCGAAAACTTAACCATGATGCTACTATTTTGCTGGATGCAAAAACATAATATCTGTAAGATTTGCTTCTTTTAAATTTTTATTTAACTTTAATAATAAATAATTTAATATTTACATAGCAACTAGTGCATATGATAATCTTGCCGACATAATGTATAATCCACAATTTAATCTTGCTCACGTAATAAAAAATGTGTAAAGGTTTTGACTTTGGAGACAAAACCTTCCTCTTATGCCAATATATTCAAGGCCTGTTAAAATTTCAATTGAAAAAACTTTTTCGAATTTTAAAAATTTTAAAAATTTCTACTACTTATCTATTAAAAATATTATTTGGAATGTGTTAAACAACCCATCCTTAATGAAGTATATATATTTTGGACCTGGGCAAGAAATTACTAAAAAATCTGAATATTGGCATGGCAATTTATAGGCAGAATCTCCCTTGTTTGGTCAAGAATCAATTACTATTAATGAAGGTAAAGCTACTTTCATTTGCTTGTATAAATACTTCAATTAGTTATTTTTAAGTTAACTTTTAGTCAAGCTTTTATAAATTAATTCATATTAATACTTCTATTGATTTTATAGAAATATTTTATACGGGCGATTTCAGTTACTATCAAGATAATATTAAGCAACTAGGACAAATTAGAGCAATTATTTTATTAGATAATATCTTAAAACTAAAGATTCAAAAAACAATCGAATATCATGAACTTCCTAAGAATCTTTATAGTAAAGATAGACAATTTCGTGCTCAGTCAGATGAAGTATAGTTATTAGATCTGTTCTTTGGTAGTAAAATAATAGAGTTGTCTAAAGTTATTGGCCATGCTAGTATAACCATCTCATCGAATAGAGATTAAGAATTTACACACAGTATACAAGAAATTCTTTATAAATTTAAGGGTTATTGAAAACTTAGAAATATTTTATTACAATATCAGTATTCTTCCGAATATATCAAAATTTTATCTCCACCAAGTTATGATATACTAGTTATAAAGTTATTCATAGACCTTTACTATGATGACTTTGGTACTTATCAGAATGTTTACCATTCACTTGGTGGTGTTTATGTGCAATTTAGAAATATGCCAATATTTCTGAGAAAATTATTAAAAAACCATTTTATATTAGGATTTGTACCTTTTGGCAGAAAGTTTAATAATTTTATTCAACCTTTCATTATGGATATGAAGTCTTTAGAACAGAGTCAGATTATAAATATCCAAGGACAGAACTATTGAGTTATTGCGAGTTTGGGTGTAACTACTGCTAATCTTCCACAGGGCAACGATCTTGCTGGTGTCAAGCAACATAGTGCTAATAATGGGTGTAGAACTTGCCAAGTTCATAAAGAACAACTAACAAATTGTAATCTAGATCTTGCAAGTTTAACAAGATATCAGCAATTTACTAATAGACAATTACGTGAAATTTCATTAGCAACTACTATAAAAAACAAGAACAACTTGCGACCAAATATAGATTACACAAACAAGCACCAGTATTAAGTAAATTAGTATAGGATCGGCATTACCAGTCTCCTCAAAATATTTATCATACAACTGCAGGTAAAATATTAAGGCTTTTAAAACTAACAATTAACTTACTTTCTCAAGAAGGCCAAAAAACCTTTATTAAAACTTGGAAAGATTTTGAATACCCAAAACAATAGGGACAGTTGCCAAATCCAATAAGTCATTATGAAAGCTTTATGATATCCGATTGTCTTCAGCTAGCGATGATTATGCCATTTATCCTTATTTGGTTTTTAAAGTCTTATTATATAAAAAATGATGAATTGTCAAAGATTCAACAGCGAATAAATACTAATCGCAATGATTTGGAAACAAAATCATTAATAAAATATTAGGTTTTGGTTTCAAAATCAATGTGATTAGCATTTAAAAATGAATATTCAGAAAATGAATATAAAGACCTTAGAAACTGAAACACAGATTTTAACCCAGGTATATAATTATAGCTAGTAGTAATTAGGGTTAACTAATGACTTTAAATAACCTATATGATAACCTGTTATAGATTATTTGGCTATAACGAAGGTTTATGATTTTTTATAGAATTAAATTAAGAAATTTTTTTTATTAATGTTCGATATGACTGATATGACTTATGATCAAAGAGTTATATAATAATATAGTATAACCAAGATCATTTTAAAAAAAATATTATAACTTAGTCATTAGCCAACACTAGTTGTAATTTATTATATATATTTGTTAATTAATATCTAGGTTTTTGAAGAATTTGAAAACATCCTGAATCTTCATATAAATGTTTATTTGCCACTTCATGCACAAACTTATAGCACTCTCATTAATACTGGAGTTGGAATCAAAGAAATGATTCATAGAATTTTTAAAGGCATAGTACTACAGACAAATTGTAAAAACCTTGAACTAGGCTTACTAAAATGTTACACCACTTTATTTGCTATATGCCATTTAATTGATGATGAAATCGATAAAGATTTTTAAGATCTAGCCAAAGTTTTATTAGCATTTCTCAACATTTTGAAAGATTATTTAATAATTGGTTTATTGCTAATAATGATAATTTAGCTTTTCAATTAGACAATAATGAATTTAATAATAATGAAGATTTGATTGAATGTTTTTATAAAAATTAATAGTAAGAAAATCGTAAATATATATTAATAAATTTTTTTAAAAAAATTTATTAGTGCACTCACAAGTTAGCCATGTATATAATATCAACTTAAAAAAGAAAATTCTTTTGAATAAACTTGATATAAATATACAATACCAAATAAATAGTTCTGAATTCAAATCAGAACTATTAATTTCATATCAAGACTTTGGATATACCGCAGCTCTTATTAATACATCTATAAGTTTCTATGAGAGTATAACTTATTTCGCAGAAGATAATTATGGTATTATAACCAAATGGTCTCTAAACCTCGGTGATACTGTGATTATTCCAGAAGAGGAAGAAGAAGAAAGCTATACTATTATTAAAGCAATCTTCCGGCACAAAAGCAATAATGGGCATTTTTATACATTTATTATGATTAATTAGTTCGAAAATATTAACCAGACACATAGTATATTAGAGTGTCCAATTTACAGAATCCAATCAAGCAAAAATAGAATTTAGCGACGAATTTATTCTATAATGGTAGTAGATCAAGCAAAAAAAGTTCATTTCATTCATAATTGCTCGAGAAATTGTATTAATAGTTATGATTTAGAAAACAAGTGTTACATAAAAAACAATTATTTTTTTACAGCTATTTAAGTTAAGTACAATATATAAAATTTAGCAATTGTTGGGCAAAATTAATATACGTAATATCAGTATTTAAATATGTATGACAATCACAAATTTAATCAACTATATATATATATATCAGATATATATAGGGTTGTTACTTTAATTTTTTTTTTTTCTGCTTCGATCTCATTTTGCTTTTGTAATGTTATATAGAAAGTTTCTTGCTTTTGCTTCCTGTACTATTAGCGCCAGGACAACAACAATCTTTGCTGAATTTTGCACAATGTTGGAATTAATTTCCCTGGTATTGATTCAATTCTATCTTTGCTCGTGTTATCTCTGGCCTTGAATATTAATATAGTTTATATTATAGAGCATTATATTTTCTTTCAAGTGCTTTTAGAGTTTTTTCAACACCTAGACTTGTATTTCATAGACCCAGTTAAGTACAATGATTTGTCTTCTTATATTTTATGCATTTAATATTTACCAATTATTGCTAAGGATAATATGAAGGCTTAATATAGCAATATGGATGTGACCAATATGCTCTCTTTCTCTTTTAATAATATTAGATATCGTTTTTTAAGTTGTTTGGTGTTCTTGGTTTTTGGGTTCTATTCAGAATATTTATACCATTTTCAATAACTATACCCAAATCATACTGATCAATTTCTGCTGATTTTTGATTACTAATGAATACCTGATATTTATCTTGTTCAATACTAATTCCAAACAGATAGCAACTATTAAGACTATTTGAACTGAAATGAGGTTTTTCTCTATAGGTAGTGGTCTCTTTGGCTAATCTCAATCACGATTTGATTTTTACAATTAGAATAATTAATCTTTTTGTCGGTTTCTTATTATAGAAGTATGTTCATTGTCTTCATCTACTTTCTTCAATATTTTTAATTCAATTTTTTTCACAAAAATTCAAGCTTACTATTCTTTTGGAATATTATCTCTACGGGAATGCCAAACTTCTTTTTAGTATTATCAGTGCCTTCTGGTTTTTCATAACTATTGATCAAGTCCAAGGCTACAGTATTTCCTCGTAACTGAATTAATCTATGAGCTTGTCTCTTACGTTTTATTCTAAATTCTTAAAGCAGTTTACTTTTTTAGTCCATACTAAATGAGGTTCTATTTATCTGTTAGGCTTATTGAGCCTTTTTATTGGACCTTTTACAAGACTATAGTATTAATTTGGTTGGACATTCTGAAACTCTATGACTCTACAAGAACCTTTGGTTGATTATTCTATAAGGCTTTACGACTTAACAAGAGCCTTTGGTTGATTATCCTCTGAAATTCTATAGAACCAGAGGTTTTTTACTTTTAAGTCATTTAAATTTAGTATTCTTATTTAGTCTTGGTATTTAGATATAGATTTTTTTTTTTAAAGAAAAAACCATAGTTATGCAAGCTGAAAATAATGCACACTGTTGTAATTACTATGAAATCAATTGGCGTTACAAATCAAACAATGATTGTTTGATACAAATGTATATGCTATTCAATGAATGATTTATCTATAGAAAAATGATATTAATTTTTATTTTACTTTTTAGATTCATGTTAATATTTAAGAGATTTTATATCGATGCATATTATGAGGAATTAATATTAAATAAAGATAAGTAGAGCTACAAGTAAAATCATGAAAATAATGCCAGCTAATACTAAAACTACTAATGTTATTTAGCTATATAATTATTCATAGATATCGACTTATTTGCCCACTGAGAAGTATCACTTATATACTTTTTATTTTTTTTGTTTGTTTTATATTCTTCTCTAGTGGTTAATATTTGCTTCTGCTAGTTCTTCACTTCTTTGGATAGTTACTAACTTTACATATTTGTTAGTAACCAACCATTGTTCTGATTTTTAAAACCCAATAGCCGATATAACTTGCTGTTCTTCATAATTCAAAAAAAAAGAAAATCCTAGAAATTTCTTATCGAGATTAATAGATGTCATGGTTTATCTTGAACTACCATGTTGGTCTTTACTATCAGTTTTTACTCGCTTGGCTAATTTATTCAATAACTGTGTTTCATACAGGTCCAAGTTCACAAAGTTTATCAAGTTTCAAAACTTCAAGCTAGGTACTTTCCCATTCAGAATCGATACCTTATATTAATTACTAATCGCTAATTTGCGTCACTAATTATTACTTATGCAATCGCTGATATTAATGATTACCACATTGTTCATGCAATTACTATTTTAACTTTTAATTAATTCTATCCCTTAAATTGTAACACAGGCAAATTTGCCTGCGAAGATTTTTACTAATTTTTTTAATATTTAAATTTTTTAA